TTGGATACATTTTCTGCTTCACAATTACAGTAACTACTTCATGTTATTTAATTTAAATAATCACGCACAATTCTTTTTAACATTAAACATTTATAGGCAGTGATTTACAAGTTAAATCACAATAAAAACCTTCTCAACTACAAATGCAAAAAGACAAGAGCAGAAAATACATTTTAAAAATAAAGAATGGTGATAATCATCTATGACAGAAGACTGCTAATGACAATATTTGTTGATCTTTGTGAACTAAAACCTGTTCAATATTGATGTATAGACTTTAAACAATTACTGTTTGTCTGGTGTTTGTCATGAAAGAAACATTAAATTAGTTTTAATGATCCAACATTATGTTTCCATGAATCTATTTTAATGATTCCAAATGTTATAATTTGAAAAATGCATAGATGCTTGTGAGTGGATTCAGTTATAGTTTGTTCCTTGCTTAGATCACTCAGTTCCTTAAAATTCTGCTGGAAAACATCTCAAACAGGAGCAGATAGCACACACACACACACTTATGTTGTGACCCAAAGAGGTACTGTTCAGCATCAAGTGAAGAAAGTTGAGGTGTACTGAAGAGCATCTGAGAAAGTGTATAATTTTGTGCTGTGCAAGTGCACGTGTGTGTGTGTGTGTGTGTGTGTGTGTGTGTGTGTGTGTGTGCACGTGTGTGTGTGTGTGTGTGTGTGTGTGTGTGTGTGTGTGTGTGTGTGTGTGTGTGTGTGTGTGTGTGTGTGTGTGTGTGTGTGTGTGTGTGTGTGTGTGTGTGTGTGTGTGTGTTGGGTCTTTATCTGTATGCCAGGCATTTATCTGAAGGGCCTCCAGCAAGAGCCAGCTTAGGAGGAGCTCAAGGCCAAACAAGTGCAAGGATTAAAGGACGAAATAGAGTCCTCTCCTCTGTCTCATCGTGGAGGAGGACGAGAATGAGCAGCCCTCTTCACTTTCTTTGCTAACACTGAGGTGCCCTTGAGCAAGCTCTTAGAGTCTTCAAGTGTCTGTCTGCACCAAGCTATACTGAAATGAGTCTGACTTCACACATCAAGCAGGTGAATGCTACCAGTTGTTTGTAGGAATTTTACAAACCACCAATATTCATTCACACCAGATTGAATAGCTAAAACAAAAGCCTCAGAGACAAAACGATGACCCACAGTTTACCTCCAACACTCCATCATGAAATAAAAAATGACCGAAGCAGTCGGCGGATGCTGTTTATACCGTGTAGATCACAGCAAGAGCATTGTTTTGTTTCTTTTATTAATTTGCCTGGGACTGACTAATTAAAGACCACACAACACAAATAGGTGAGGAAGACTTGTGAAACCAGTCATGGGGTTTGGATATAGAGAAGGACTAAATTATACACAACACTAATTAATGAGATAATTTAGCAGACAGAAGAAAAATGCTGTGGTTCAGTTCTGGTGGTCGGTGAAGATGTGATTTCACACTCAAACCCAACAAACAGAGCAGAAGGAAGAGTTTTGCATTTGGTGCTGCTGCATGAAGAAACAAATGAACACCATTTTAAGTGATTAAAGGCCTTTTACAGTGTTGACAGCTAAAAAATCAGCTCCCACAGAGTGTATGAAACAGGTGAGAACACTAAGAAAACAGCAAATAAGCTCTGCGACTAAGCAAAGGGAGCAACTATGTAACAAATGAAACAGTTATTCAGAAATCTGGTGTAAAATTTGATTTCTGCATTTTGCATACAACTATGTCTTTCTGTGGAGCATGAGATGTTTTGATTTCTTGGAAGGAACAATTGGTTTGTACAGATGCTGCTTCGGTTAAAGCCTCCATGTTGCGCCACCGTGTTACATTGTAATGCACAAACTGAACCTCGACTTTAAATTAAATGCTGCATAAACTTTTATAGTTTTCACCATCTTCCCTACTTGTTAATAGGAGTTTAAAGGTGGTTCACAGAAAAACATTTTTAATAATTATTTCTGATTATAATCAGTCACTGAGAGTTTTTCATGCAGGCTGAACATTAAAATAGTCTCCTGCACCAATCTGCTGCATTTGTTTCTGAAAGAAAATAGACGGTGAAACTCAAGGACTCGAAAATCCTCATAGATCTATATCACACTGTCAGTTAGCATTCATGGACACACCATTCTTGACTCACAATGGGGAAGGCTGTTGTTGATTTAGGGTCCAGGAAACAGCAGATAACGTCTCAACTAGTAGAAGCTAACCGTTAGCATTAGCAACTCCCCCACACAGCAGAACTTCTCCAGCCTTGTGTTATTTGTGGAGATAAAACTCCAACGTTACAGAGCAAAGTGAATCAGTGGTAGAGTCTCTTTGTTTTAGTCAATCAGAGGTGAGATGTCAAAATATCAGGATTTAAGACTCCAATTTCTGCCTTCTGAGGTTGCTTTCTCCTCCAGCTGACTTATACTTCCTGATTCAGATGCATCTGAGCTTTTTTCCCCTCCAGAGTACAATTTACACAGCATTTATTCCTACTAGAGACCACTGAAAATTAATTGATTAAATGCGTGTTCCACACCTTTAAGGAGCAGATTTCCAGCCAACAAGAGTAAATTCCACACACTTCTAGTTTCAAACCCACAATGTGATGCATCCACCTGAACCAATCCTCATGTAACCCTCTTACCTCTATTAAGGTAGCGCGACTCGGGTTGCGAAAGACCAAAGTCACCGATTCTTGTCATGTGTCTTGCCCATGTATGTCTGATCTCTGGATTGTGTGTACTGAAACTCTAATTCACCTCTGGGATTAATAAAGGATTGATTGATTGATTGATTGATTGATTGATTGATTGATTGATTGATTGATTATAATGAGATTACACAAAACAATGTTTTTTGTTAGGTTTTTTTGTTGGGGTGAGGTGGATGAATCCAAAAATAGTAGGAAGTTAATCACCACGTGTAAAGCCAGACTAGACGAAGGGTAAGACATTTTTAATTAATGATTTGGCTTTCAAAGAATGTTTTATTTTTATTTTTTCATGATGCAGCTTGGCTGGATATTAAATAACCTTGTGTTGCCTGTGTCCCGCTGAGAAAACGAGAACAAAAGATGGTGAGCTGGTCAAGGTGCTTCTGTAAATAAGAATTCAGGCGAACGAGCACCATGAGACAAGCCAACAGGAAGTGTGTGTATAAAAAAGAAATGGGGAGAGGGATGGCATGTACAAAAATGTGGACTAACAATAAGGGGGAGCTTTTTAAGAGTGAGAAAGCGACTGCCCACAATGATGCCTCAAACATAACATTCCCTTCTTTCTTACTGCCTTTCTTTTATTCTGCCTCAGTCACACAGACTTGCCTGTGTGCACACAGTATTATGTAAATAGTCTCTTCGGCAGAGTGCTGCTGCTGAACGAGCATCCTCAGGGCTATCCAAGCAGCCTCATTAAAAAGAGGCACAGCATCCATTAATAGATACCAGCACACATGTACACATATGCACGCACACATGCATGCATAGGCAGTCAATAAAACACACAAAGCATTCGTAGACACCAATAAAAGACCTCCCGGGAAGCACATCTCTAAATGTTCCTCTTAGGTGGTAGTCAAAAAAAATAAAATGTCTCCAAGGAAACGGCTCAAATGTCACTGAGAACAATGCATGAAGAGGATGTGGTGACTGTGACTGTAGAGTAGAAGAAAAGAATGGACAATGTGGCTCAAAACCCAGGATTTAGCCTATAACTAGTCTGTTACTGGTGTTGTACTTAAATAAAGACTGCAGACTTTATTTATCCTCTCTGCTGAAGGTGTTAATACTTTTTAAAGGCTAGACCTTAATAGAAGACATCATTTAAAACTTGCAGCACGACCACTAAGGCTTCTTCTTTACTCTTTACACATTTACTTGTTAAACTGTGATTAAGTCAAAGTTTCAGTGCTTGTCTCCCTTCAGAGAAATTTACTTTGGATAGATGGTTTACAGTGTACCACAATGCTTCACTCATCCAAGGCCCCCCCCCCACTTCACTGTTTTAACGTCCAGGAAACAGGAGAAATGGTCTTGGCTAATAGAAGCTAACCGTTAGCCTTAGCAACTCCACCACAAAGCAAAACTTTTCCAATATTGTGTTATTTGTGGAGATTAAACTGTAATGTCACAAAGCAAATGAGGTCAGTGGTAGAGTCATGTTGCTATTAGTCAATCAGATATCTCAACCCAAATATCAGGAAGTAAGACTCCAAATTAGGCCGTCTGAAGCTCAACTCTGATTCCAAAACAAGTGCACCCAGACTGTTTGTACCCAGAGTTCAACTTTCAAGGCAATCATTTCCAGAGACCACTGAAAATGTACTGGTAAAATGACTGAACCACATAGGTAAAACTGACCATGACAAGCTTTATTTGTTTTGTTTTTTAGGAGAACTTCCTTTTGGGAAAGGTTATATTTAGGCCTCCCCTCTGATTTGTTGGATAAGCATGCAATTTATTTTTAGGTTAATTTGTGAATGTTGATGCTTTTTTTTTTTTAATTTACAGCATACATTTTTAAGTCAGAACACAAGGTGTGAAAGAGTTATTTATCAACCTGATACATGTCTGATGGCATTTATTTTTCTATGATTTTCTGAGCTAGAGAAACTAGGGAGCTTCCTGGAAGGGAAAAAAACTTAAAGGCTTTTTCTGGTTATATGTGCACAACAAAGATGGAGTAATACCTAGCTGGCTGGTGGGACATGAAGGAAAGTCAAACTGTAATTCTTGAATGATCTGCTGTTGTATGACTATCTTCTCACCAATGTTTACAAGATTTTTCTCACTGCACTTACATGTTGTATGACAACATTTGCACCAGTAACTATGCAGTTTAATTGTTTCTGTTTGTCCCTGCTCAGCTCCGTTACAAGCCATTTCCATCACACAAGAAAGTCCAACGTTCAACCTAAACAAACACTTTTACTGATTCTTCTGACACTGAAACTGCAGAAGTTCTATGTAAAACCTGTAAAGTAAAAAGGGGCCTCTGTTTTTTGTGATCTGCTGGCCCCGCAGGCGGCTCCCGAGGTGTGGGATTCATCCGCTTTGATAAGAGGATAGAAGCTGAGGAGGCCATCAAGGGTCTGAACGGTCAGAAGCCATCGGGGGCCGCCGAGCCCATCACGGTCAAGTTTGCCAACAACCCCAGTCAGAAGACCAGCCAAGCCCTTCTGTCACAACTCTACCAGTCCCCCAATCGCCGGTACCCCGGCCCGCTTCACCACCAGGCTCAGAGGTTCAGGTGAGTACAGCGGTTTAGTCACCACATTTACTAAGATCACAAAGAAGCATGTTAAATGGGGGAGATCTGAATTTTCTCAAACAAATTTGAGTTGAGGCTCACTGATTTTTAAGCAGTCCTGCTGACATTAGTTATCTTTAAATACCAAGAATAAGCAGCTTTACTTTTTTAGGCCAAGTTGTGAAATGAGGATCCATTTCACATGCACATGGCTGCAAAAGTTATTCTCAGTCTACCTCTTTCTGCCTGTAATATTATTAAATGACCCAGATGAACCAACTTGATGGATGAAGACGTTTTATTTCAGCAGTTTTTTGTTTTGTTTTGGTTTTTTTTTTTGCTTTTTTTTACAACAGCTCTATTACTTTTTCAACAATAAAACCCAAAAGATCCAGCCCTGAGCACATAACCGTAAAGGAGCAGTAATTAGAACGCCCACGCTGAATTTTGTTACAAGGAACTCAAAGTGCTTTTATTATGTGCAGATGTACAGATACTTTATTTTGCTGACAAATGCAAAGGATATTTTTACTGCTCCAAAGTCAAAACACAAGCAAGAGTCCTCTGAAGCAAAGTTAACTCGTTTAAGGAGATGGCTTAACAAAGATTAGCAACAATGGTGCTGTTTTTAGGCCGTTTCTGTCTCCATTAGGCCCGTTTCCACTTTTGGAACTTAAGGGTAATTTTATCGGTACAATGTCTCCATTTCACCGTGCCACTTAAGGGACCAACCAACCACCTGAACTGGGGTATGAGCTCAGAAATGGCCCAGTAGAGTTGCTGGGCAGAACTGGTGATTAATTTGTGCTGATTGGTTCTAACTCAGTAGGAAATTATTGCCAAAACAATCGGTATAATTTAAATTGGAAGAGTTGCTGGTTGTCAGGAGAGATGGGACTGAGGGCAGCAGGGAGTTCAACAGTGGCATATGTCACAACCCAAGAGACTAGCGTTGGTTGTGGCTGACACGCGGTTAATATAGGAACGTCTGCATGAAGCTCGAATAGAAACGAGGTCGTACTTGCGTTCCAAAGTAAGAAAGGTTGGCTTAGTGGTTGATGTCAGAGTTGAAGAATAGAGCTGGTCAGCTCGGGTACTCGTAGCTCGATTCCAAAGAAGCAATGACTGAGTGGAAACAGAAGTGGTTTACTTCCGTGCATAGGCAATGGTGACCATGTAGTCGGGATGTCCAGTGTAAGGGATGCTGGGAAGTAGGGTTCCAGGCATCGGTTCCGCGTCCAGGAGGATGCTGGCAGGTGGATGACATGCCACTGATGAAGCAGAGTGGAAGGAAAAGAAAATGAGCTGTGTTCACTTTGTTTTAAAAATTGCCGTTTCTAAACTCCCAACGCTGAAAAATATGGCAGAAATAATTCATAATGCCGTTGTTATTAGTGCACCTTATGAAACAGCACTTTGTCTGGTCATCAAACACAGCTTTTAAGTGACACAACCACTCTCCCAGTCTTCCAATTGGATTAAATTACAACATACTTCGACAGAATAAAACTTTTAGTTTCTCCGGATGCCTTTTTGTGCTCATCACCGACGTCCTATGCTGAAATGTTTGAGAGAAGCGTTTGAGAAGCTCTTGAAAGGGCTGATGGAGACAACAACGGAGAGGACGAGCCATCTTTTTTTCCCCATGTCACCTTCCACCCTCCCAGAAATTTCCCAGGACTCCTTTAGTGGAAACAAATCTACTGTGACCTTAACTGGGGACATCTTTAAACTGGGACCAGTGGCAGCTCCTACTTATCAGCTCCTTTTCAATCAATCAATCAATTACTCAATCAATCTTTATTTGTATAACACCTTCCACTGCCTTTGCAGAGCCCAAGGCACTGAACATAAAATACAACATACAGACATGAAAGCGCCGTACAAAATGTAAACAAGGAGCATAAAAGCATACAACCAGGTCACATAAAGGCCAAACGATAAAAATGAGTCTTCTAACGACTCTTAAAAACCTGAGGCAAAGGTGAAAGTTTAATATCAAGTGGAAGCTCATCCCAGAGAGAAGGAGCCAAGACAGAGAAAGCCTGATCACCTCTAGACCTGCACCTAGTTTGTGGGACAATCAGTAGCTCCAGATTAGCCAAACAATCAGGCATTTAAGAAAGCAAATCACAAAATTAAGACTAGGTTTGGGATCTCCCCTTTCATTGTAATTGCTTTATTGTGTGTGTAGAAGACTTAAATAGTGCCAAATAGCATCATCTCACAAGGCTGTTAGAAATTAGATTTAATGAAATAAGCTCAAATTACAGCTACAAGTGATTCGTTCCTAAAATTTACTGCAATAACTCCCAGTCAGCATGCTTGCTCTAACCAACAGGCCTGATTCAGAAACTATTTGCATCAAAATTCTATTTATATGTTGTTCAAACAGAGGATATAACGCCTACACACGTAGAGAGCGTGACTCATCAAATTTTCTGTGTCACAACAGCGAGGCACCTTTATTCCACTCTTGCAAACGCTCATTTTGGCCAAATATGTCCTCTGATTGAAAAACAGCTGAGAGCCCCGCACCTGGTGCAGGTGTTGGACAAACCGGTGAGCGTTCTCTGGGCGGTTCGGCCCAGATCAAAGAGGAACTGTTCATAAGAGACTGTGGGGTTCTGTCGTTCACAACTACGTCTGTCCCCTCATTTCATCCCACTGCCATCGTGTCAGTACCTCTCAGCAAAAAGCATGAATTAGGATTAAAATGCGTAGGCAATAAAAATTTTAATTTGAATAATTAATAAGAATTTTAAATTGCAGGTAATATTGTCAAGCTTATAATGAACAATAATTATGCAGCAGTTTGCAGAAGCCATATTTCTAAGAGAATGTCTGCCAATTTTTTAGTAAACGAGCCTCAACAATACAGGCTGAAATTATTTAGCACATTTGACATCTTTAATTGAATAAAATTAGGTTAAAATTGCTGTAATTTGGATTTGATTAGTACCCAAAACAATTGTAATAGATGTTTTTGCACAGATTAATAATCTTCACACCAAGACAGGATTGCAAGCTTTGTTGAGCTGATTCACACAGACTGTATAAATGACATTTATAGTGATCTCATCACCCACTAATGATAGATAAAGTCTCATTTTAGCATAAATGTTGAGAATCTGTAGAAATTGTTTGGACATTTGGCATCGTTCTCATTTCAGCTAAGCAATCGACACACACCAGATCCAGGTACTTTTCTGTACTACTCTCCACCATCAGACCCAATGAGATTATTTTGAGAATCAGGCACAGAATATGTGCTTATATAATTTCCCAACTCTTACAATAGTGCTAAACCAGTCGCGATGTTTACTCTCCGTCAAAGTCAGAGCTTGGAAGGTATTTTTCCTCTTCCTCCACTTCCCTGGTGTGACACCTGAGCAATCTAGCAGGGCTGTGTGTCTGTGATACGCCAAGCCAATTTACAGGCTCCGCAGGAGAGCTGTCACTTCTCATCACAACTCACAACCGCAGGACACTTCCTCACTGCGTCCTCCGCTCCTGAGCCTGTCGCTGAAACCTCGACACTTTAGAAGTTATAAACGTTCTGATGAGCTCAGCTCTTTTTGCTTTTAACACTGAAATTGTATTAAAGTACAAAATAATTTACAGTTTTCTTTGTTGTAATCAGTTTATCTCTAATAGGATAAGTTTACTCTGTACCACAATATTAGTGAGTTTCAGGTCACACTTTAGTCCCTACAGTCCCGCAGCTCTTTTAGGACACTTAATAGTTAACAATATTGAGACTGTTAAAAACAGGGACCCTTTGTTTATTGTTTAATAATGCACTAAGTAACGGTAATAAAAGGATCCTTATCGCAAAGTGTTACCGAAAACTTTTTTCATTGCTTTGTTTCTTTGCCAATAAATAGTAAGTCTCTCCCAAATCAACTTTTTTTTTGCTGGTAAACTTTATCGATGAGTGTCTAATGATGCTGTAGACAGGTGTTGTTGTCATTTTTGCATTTTAGTGCATCTTATTTAAAACATAAATATAAATGTAGCGCCCTCTTCAGCTTCAAAGTCTGCTCTACATCTGAACTGGAATCAGCCATTACTGTTGGCTAACGCCTACTGCACACTGGAAGCAAAAGCGCCACTGAACGGCAGCGGAACGGTTTACTCGCGACAACCACTGTACTGAAGTGCACACCGGGAGAGTCTCAGCAGCAATGCTCCTTGCTCGACTTGCGAGATCAAACAATCCCTCGAGACCTTGAATATTACGGTTTGTTTGTGCAATCCGCCATTGAACCAAAAAGAAGTAAATCACGTGTTATCGCTGTTTGACATCATATATGATGTTGTTCCTCTCCACCGCCAGGATTAAAGCCATGAAAACACACCACTGCACATCTGGAATGATGCTGTGAGTAACTAAGCTGTTAGGTCACACATAAGCTTCATGTATATGAAACTACACCACTGCAACACTTTTATTTTGAAAATTACCAGGGATTTTACACTGAAACCGTGTACGATTTCCTGTCTAGCCCTATGTCGATTGTGGTAATTGACGCATTCCAGAAGCAGCTCGCAGAAAAAATAGAACCCAATCCTATTTTTAGTGGCACGGCATGCCGCTTCTGAAAATTGCCGCGTCACGGCTGGTTTGTCACACTCCATAGATTATAATGAATTCTATTAGAAGCGGCGCCGTTTCGCTGCTGTTCCGCACCACTTTTGCTTCTGGTGTGCAGTAGTGGTGAGCTGGTATCATCTATATGGGCAGTTTTTCTGTCAGACACTGCCACAGCACCACTCCCTCTGTCCGCCAGACAATCAAACAGGAAGTGTGGGTAGAGTCAGACTCTGGTAGGGGGTGACTTGCTCTTTAAAGAGTTAAAGTGAAATGAAAGTGATTTCTATAAAGTAGTGTGTATAAGACCCACAGGGGTAAAATGCCTCAGACTCAGACACAATGCTTGAGATATTAGAGTCCGCATCGATGTGGACTTGGGTGAAGTGCGGATCAAGGGTGCAAACGGGGCTTGATTAACTTCTGCACTTGAGAATCAGGACACCCTGCAATATAACATGACAAAGCAATCAGTACAATACATATACAGTGATTTACTTGATTTATTACAATACAATATGATCAGATATGTGGTTTGATATGTAATTTATCACTAATGCATTACTGAAAAAGTATAATTGTATAAATGACATTATTTGTTTTCCACATCTACAAATCTGACTCCACTGTGATGTTTACTTCTATTGAAGGCCTTTGTTATATTTGCATCAATAAATACGTCAAACCCCCTCCCCCATTCTAGAAGCATCCTGCACTGCTAAAACTTTTCAGGAGGCAGACGTCAAAAATCAACAGCATGTCCTACAAGATGCCACAACTTCCTTAAATGCACAACTATGTAGAAAATGGCAGCTGTGTGACAGAGGTGCAAACGTCAAAAAAGCAACAAAGACCAGGACACCTAACACAGCATTATGATAATACACTAAATATGATCTTACCACGTTAGAAAGCAATCACAAAATTATGTTTACATGCTTGTTTGAATCACAAGGGCCCGCTGTACCTTAGGTTAATGTAAAATGTGCTTGCATGGTCTCTTTCCAAGTCAGAAAACATAATCGACAGCAACACAATGCACCAAGCCTTGGATCCAGGCTTGTTTCTGATCCTCAGTTGTTACCTAATGGTAGTAATTAGCAAATTAGCCTGATTATATCCATGGCGGGAGCCAAATTTAAATGAACAGAATTTTGTTTAAAAAAAAAAAAAAGAAAAAACACCCATTCCTCCATTAGGCCACATTGATGAGGAGTACAAAAGCTCCATTGTTTACATCATGCTTGCAGAGGCAATGTGAAGAGCTGGCAGTGTTTTTGTGGAGAGCCTGCATCAGTGTGTGTGTGCGTGCGCGTGTGTGTGTGTGTGTGCGTGTGTGTGTGTGTGTGCGTGCGTGCGTGTGTGTGTGTGTGTGTGTGTGTGTGTGTGTGTGTGTGTGTGTGTGTGTGTGTGTGTGTGTGTGTGTGTGTGTGTGTGTGTGTGTGTTGCAGAGGGAGAGGGGGTTAGCAGCAGGTTGTTTGTTGTGGCCCAGTGGCCAGCAGATGTCTTCGTGCTCCTGGGCATGGAGCACCTCTCCTCTGAGCTTCCTCTTCAATTGACTCATTTTCGCACAAAGCACACTGCTTGTTCCCTTCCCACATTGTAGGCTAATTACTGATTTGATGATCATTTCTGTCATTCGGCTGCCTTTGAAATTTCTAAGATCCATGCTCATATGAAGACAATCGAAACAAGACAATTAACCCTCCCACTGTCTTTATGGGTGACCCCGCAAGGAAAGTTGACCATTGGGAGGGTTAAGGAAGTTAGTCAGGATGGTATAAACTGTAAAAAATTACAAAAATTGTAAACTTTAAAAAATTTACAGATTAAGACCAATGTGTGTACATTTTACAATTTTTTTTAATTAACAAACTAAATTCATCACACAAATGAAAAAATGTGCTAGAAGAGATCCATCCTATACAAGTGTCAAGACAGATTTTAGCTAGATTTCCAATTATTAAAGTTGTTAATTACAATCACAAAGCCCCCCTGTGTTAAATTGCCCCTGACTGGAAAACTGTTATTCTAGTATCACTAACAGGCAAAAGAAGCTTTACTTAAAACCATTATTACAAATAGTTGTGTGATCATTAGTAAGACAATAAAAGCTGGTAATGAAAGAGCAAACAAAATGGATTACAATTAAATTGTAACTTACGTAGCCAGAGGCTGTTGTATAGTGCTTCTTATATTACGTATGCACTTTGGATGTAGATGTATGACAGAGTAATGGAGTAAGCACATTATTTTATGCACCATTGGTGCTCCAGTAGTAATTGATTCAGCATTCTGCAAAAAGACTCCAAAACACACAGCATCGACATTTAACTTTGATGTGATTATTTAACCCTTTGATGCATAATGGTCACTACAGTGGACAGGTACTCAAAATTGTTATTTATTTATTTTTGCTATTAAGCACAGCTGTTGAAGACTTTATTGTATGTGAGCCCCTCCATTGGGGCTTCAGCAAGTCAAGCCAACATATTTCATGTTCAGAATGCACGCTGTCCACTGAGGTGGACATTTAATAAACTATTTGTAAATTAACAAAATGTTACAAAAATTATTTGTTGAAATTTGTTTCATTCACACATAAAGATGAATGAAAACAATTGTTTAAAAAATCATGGTTGAAGATTTCATAATTCATGCATCAAAGGGTTAAGCAGTTCTCAACTTTTTTAAAGGTGTGATTCACTGAAAAAACAATTTTGAATCTGGTTATAATCGGTCACTCTGAGTTTTTTATGCAGGCTGAACATGAAAATACTCTCCTACACCTAGTGCCTTCATTAGCTTCTGATAGAAAATAGACGGTGAAACTCTAGGATTTGTAAATCCTGACAGATCTATGTCACACTGTCACTTAACATTCATAAACTCATCCATACACCGGGAAGGCTGTTGTTGGTTTGGCATCCAGAAAACAACAGAGAATGTCTCAGCTAGTAGAAGCTAATCGTTAGCATTAGCAACTCCACCGCATGCCAGAACTCCTCCAGGTTTGTGTTATTCGTGGAAGTAAAACATCAACATTGCAAAGCAAACTGACTCAGTGGTAGAGTTGTGTTGCTGTTAGCCAATCAGAGGCTAAGAACATTTCTAAATATCGGGAAGTAGGACTCCAAATCCTGCCATCTAAAGCTCAAGTCCAATGTGTCTCACTTCTGGTCCCTGAAACAGGCTTAACTGTGTGACTTAAAAGGCATTCATTCTTACTTAGAGACCACTGCAAATGTTTTGATTAAACGAGTGAACCACATCTTTAGCCTCGTTAGTCTGTGCGTCATCACTCTGGAAAAAGAGACCAACAAGAAACACTTTACAGTTGAAATTGTTTCCATAACTACAACTGGCAAATCAAATCTACTTTACCAAAGCTTGTTTCCACATTTTTAAGCATACTAATGTCACTAAATGTACTGCAGTGGGTTCTTACCTTGTAATAAATCTATCAACTGTAGATTATCACTGACCTCAGCAGTGAAGAGTTGTGATTGATTAATTATAGCTATCATCCATCTCTTGTATGAATTTAAATAACCAAATAAACAACAATAGCATGGACTACACTTTTCAAAATGTGTTTTCCATTTTTAAAGCTACTTCTGGAGAGTGGGACTGCTCTGCTGCAAAACCACCATTAAGGAGCAAAAAAACAACCTTTATAGTTATGTCAAAGTCAAAGTTTGTAGTGTTTTCAAGAGGAATGATGCGTTGGTGACCAGCTGTTGCTCAATAAGCCGTGGCCTCTGTCATTAGGCCAGAGGAGTTAATAAGACATGAGACAGGCCAGACCCAAGTGAGAAATGAAGGTCATTGAGTCACCAAACAGACTGCATCCATCCACGAGGGCCAGCATTTCACACAGCCCACAGGTCTGTGAGGCTCGGCACACAGACACAAACTGTAATTTACACTGGCGGACTGCAGTAGCTGCAACTCGCAGGCTGGAATGATTATGAAACCACAACGTCTCCCAAAAAGCTAACCCTTTTAGACAGAGGAGCCCATCTGACTAACATTTAGCTTTTTCCACCTGACCCGTTTCCACTTAACAGGTTGACCTTGACCACAAGACAGACATCCACGATTTCACAGCTAGTTTAACACGCTGTTGTGTTTTTGTTGTTACTCTACCGCATACAAACCCACTAATCATCATCATCATTGCTCTCACGCATCATTCAAATGCCAAACCATTACACTGATAGAACTCTGGATCATTTCCTGTCATTTCAGGTGTTCTCTCCATTGAGTTAACACAAGATTAAAGCCCATAGATAATCCCAAAAATATCCATTTATCTCCATCCTAATGAACCACCAGTGTGGTGGCATAATTTGTACGGAAATCTCCTGCACAGCGAGTTAAAAGAATGATTTGCAAATGTGTAGCATTCTGGCCTTACTACCACCCCCAGTAATGCCTGTTGCAATGCTCTGCTCACACTCTACCTGCTATACCATTAGTGCTTTGTAACCAACTCTAAAGCTAAACTGTGACCAGTCCACTGCTGTAGTCATGTATAACGATTAATTGGACACACCTGCAATAATGTAAGTGCTCCTGTGACACTGCTCTGGCGTTAGCGAGTTCAGAGTCTGCTCAGTGTTCAGACCCTCCTGTAGCTCCAACGCCTGACGATAGCGTTTTCTGCTGGGGCTCCTCAGTGTAATGGACCAACTATAGATGTGTTTGTTTGTTCTCGAGTGAGGGGGACCATGCGGTTCCTGCAGGGACTTTACATTAGTTCCATTGATTGAGTCGACCATCTGCCCACCATTAACCCCAGAACCCTCCTTCTCTTTACAGGCTGGACAATTTGCTTAATATGGCCTATGGCGTAAAGAGGTAATTAAAAACTTCACCAAATGCCAGATGTCCATGTTGACTCCGTGATTTTTCAACATGTTTTTATGATTTCTCCCCTAATTTATGTTACGTTGGTGTTTTGCAGTCACTTTAAGTTTGACAGTTTGTTCAAGGTCAACAGCATTTTTGATTCATTGGTTTGGTTGGGATTTTTTCCCCCCGGCTTGAATTGGCATTTTAACCCATTCCAGCCACTTCAGGTGCAGTAAAAAAAGAACAACAGTCCGTCTTTGTTTTCAGTGCTGATGAATTAGCTTTGTTTTGATTATGACAAGTGCTGGTGGGTTTGTTTTGTATTGTTTTAGGTTGTTTCTGTGATCTGAACAGATTTTGTTCTCTGGTGAAAGACTTCTAATTTCTCAGTGTTTTACTTTATTTATTTATTTTCATTTATATTTTCTGAGGGATTCAGGTTTTCCAACCTTGTCACTTTACAGACAACTTGAGAGCAATGCCTCTAAAGGCCTTTATCAACTCATCGTTTTAATTATATTTTAGTACATCATGTGCACTTTCCTGTATTATCAGCTACTTTACTGTGTGAGCCTTCAAAGGTGCATAAGTATCCCTAAATTCTCTGCAGTTTATACACAGATTATGAAATGAAAGACATGGTTGGATGAACTTGGATCCCTGCTGGAAACAGGAAATGCTGTTTCGCTGCAGACAGCTCAAGCTTTGCTTGGCACTGCTCTTCTTAATTTCCTTTTGCCTTCATCTTTAAATTTTGCATTGCTGCTGTCATGTGTGTTACGTAACTCAGAGCAGGAGCTACACTGGTGGTAGATGTTTGATGTGCTGACGGGCGTATGTTGCATGCTGCAAGCACAGTAGGCATCAATCAGTAGGCTCAGCAAGAAAAAAGTTTTAGCTAATGTGAATATTCAGTTCAGTTTTGGATATAAACTATTATTTCAAACACCGGTTAGAAATCCTCAATATTCTGATGTTGGATTCAAAGATTAACACTCAATACACGCTCTGACCTTCACATAATTTTCTAAAAGTGAAAATGGCGTCTGATTCAGCAGTCCTGATTGCAATGAATGTCATCAAGTCGCAAGTGTTATTCAGTGTTTGGAGATGGGATGGTTCCGCTTCAGAAAGGACAGAACAGATATCTGGTCAGCTACACTGTTGCTATGCAACCCTATTCTCATCTTTAACAATGGCTAGAGTTCATCCCTCTATGAAGGGTACACACACACACACATATAGCAGTAGCATCAGCCAAACTCCAAAGCATCACCACCACACACTCACTGACCTAAAAACTTTCTGTCTTTTGTTTACATTTTTCACATTTTTCACATTTTTTGGCCTTTAACGAAACACTTTTTTGTAAATGTGCAAAGAATGACTCTAAATGATAAAATGCTATATAACCTACACTTGTATAGCACCTTTCAGAGTCAGAGGACTCCTAAGTGCTTTACACTACAGTGCATCATTCATCCATTCACACACACCCATTCACATTCTGGTTGTGATGGGCTACAATGTAGCCACAGCTGCCCTGAGGCACACTGACAGAGGCGAGGCTGCCAAGCACAGGTGCCACCGATCCCTTTGACAACCACCTGCAGGCAAGGTAGGTTAAGAGTCTTGCCCAAGGACATAACAGCAGCATTCTCTGCCGGGATCACTCCTACAACCCTCTGATTACTGGGCAACCCGCTTTACCTCTTGCTCTATCTCTACAGTTCACAGTGATATTTTATGCCATACTGGGAGATGTACCAAAAAAGGATTTTCTTTATGGTACGTATAGGACTACTAGTGTACAATGGGAGCTTGTTTCAGAATCAAAACAATCAACTAAAGCCAAAGGCAGACTTTACATGGCTAAAGTCATTCAGGAAGGTCGTAGTGATTGCCAACTACATATAGTCACTGGAGAGAGGAGGCTTGAGGGTCCAGGCAGCAAGCAGCGCTATCGATCAGTGCCACGAGCTCAGCGATAGAAGAGCCCAGAACACCCTGCAGGAGGGAGAGGAATACACTTTGTACCTTAATACCACTGGGCTGTAAAGTGCTTCCATTTTCCTTTTAGTTTGCTCCCCATGTGCTCCCTCCTTTTCCTTAAGAATGCAGCCTTCCCTGAAACAGCTGCAGCTAAGCGGAAATGTCAATTAAAGCACTCCCAATAATGCCTACAGTAGTTTCTTGGAATGAGGTGGCATAAGAAATGAACCTTTTTATTTCATTTACCTTTTATTTATAAGTAGTGGGATTTTTTCCCCCTCTTTTCCTTTTAGCGGAAAAGGCAATTAAGTGAAGTCAACTGAGGATTCAAATCTCTTGCATCACCAGAAAATGGAAAAGATTATGAGGCGAATGAGAACAGATTTAGCAGGCTGGTGCACGATCTTTGATGAATTTCTAGCAACGGTTTAGTTCAACAACTTCCTGCAATTTGGCACAGAAAGAAGCCACTAGAGGACACAAAGACAGAGCATTCATCTGCATCTTCTTCAGCAAAAGTGCAGCTCAGCACAGGCGGTGCTGTCGTCAGTCCTGGCAGGGGACGTTTCAAAGCCAACGAGCTCAGGGAGGAGTTAGTGAGATTTCTGCTGTCCCAACCTGCACATTTAGAAATTCAGGAGTGGTTCGGGTTATGATTCTGGTTATGGCAGTCAGAGCATTCATGGAAAAGCTAAAGCAGCAGCTAGTTCAGAGTGAGATGTGTTTGAAAGTAGATTTCAGACAGCTAAAAGGAAATTTTCATTCTGAATCGTGTGATTTATGAAAAAATGTTCGGGTCTTACTAAACCTCTCCCCAGAAACACTTAAAACAAAACCCAGATTCTAGCTTCGTACAAACACCATCTGAAACAGGAAAGTTCAGTTTGGAGGTCAGTGGTTTAGTGGTTTGACTGGTGAGTGTTGCTTTCTCTCTTTATTTGGAATGTGTGTTTTAAAATGTTAAATATGATTCTACCCATTTCATCTACAGTACTGTAGAAGAAGATTATTTCATTACACGGTTTGACTCATCGTGTTGACACAGATCTCCCACCGCTCTGCCTCCTCTCCCAGGTTCTCCCCCATCACCATTGACAGCATGACCAGCCTGGTCGGCATGAACATCCCCGGGCACACGGGCACCGGTTGGTGCATCTTTGTCTACAACCTGTCTCCAGATTCCGACGAGAGCGTGCTCTGGCAGCTGTTCGGGCCCTTCGGCGCAGTCAACAATGTCAAGGTGATCCGTGACTTCAACACCAACAAGTGCAAAGGCTTCGGCTTCGTCACCATGACGAATTATGACGAGGCGGCCATGGCCATCGCCAGTCTCAACGGCTACAGGTTGGGCGACCGTGTCTTGCAAGTCTCCTTCAAGACTAACAAGACACACAAGTCCTGAACTCTCGACAGGTAGAAGCAGATGCCCCACGCATTTGTCTGCAACAAATTTGGCCCCCAACCCCAACCCCTCCCTTCCACCCCCACTCGTCCCCTTAGGCCCTTCAGTCGCCACCACCACCCAACTACAGCCATCCAACAGATCAAACTACAACCGGAACAAAAATCAACCAATAAACCATCAAACAAATTGAACTATTAATGGCTTATATTATAACTTTGGACCTATAAGCCAATGTTGCCTGAGTATTACAAAAATTTAATGATGAAAACGTTCACAAGTTTTTAGAAGCCCCTGTGATGATGCAGGCTTCTCTTTGTTGTATATTATTTTTGTTTGTTGTGGTTGTTCAATGATTTTCCTCTTCTGTGTAAAAACAGTAGCAATTTCTTGTATCCCTTATTTCAGAGAAAAGAATGTCCTTTTTAGATTGGAAACCTTTTCTCTGTCTTGATTCAGGATTTTATTTTCTTTTGTAAATCCGGATCCACTGTCGTTATTATTGGATACCTCCCAATCAATGAAAGGGAGGGGGCTCTTTTTAAATTAGTGAATCCATTCATTCATTTGTAGCGTGATTCAAAGACTTCCCCTTATTGATTATAGATGGGATGCAACAATCCCAATGACTCAGATATAGAAAAAAAAAGAATTTCTAGCATTTTATGTTTTGTTTTGTATCGCAAACAAAACATAACGTCTTTCCTCACTGGGTTTCAGGGAGATGGGGCGAGGGAGGGGATGGGTTAGCTTTCCTGATGACACGTTCAGTAATTCAAGAAAAAAAATAAACAACACACACACAACACTGTTGCCAAAGAGAAGATCTCTTTGGTTGGAAAAAAAAAGAATTTAGAAAAAGATAAAAATAAATAGAAAGAAGATCTATTTTTATAAATGATAATTAAAATAACTATTGAAGAATTTTTACGGGAATCTGGATTTGAAAAAAAGAGAAAAATATTTTGACTGGCTAACTGGGGGGGCCGGGGCGGGTGGGAGGGGGCACCACCTTGTCTCGTCGTTCTGCCGTGGTACTTTGTAGGATCAAAAGGTCGTTTTTTTTTTTTTTTGGGGTGAATCCAAGTTGGTTGTGATTTTGTAGACGGAGGGTTTTGTGAAAAAGGGATGCAAAATGAGACAGGTGATTTTGGTAATTTTTCACATGTGTACTAGTGCGTAATTATTCAACAGCGATACCCAAACGGGAAGGGAAAGGGGTCTTTTCAAGACCTAAAACTTTATAGTTCAGAGCCCAAAGCAAGAAGACCCTTTTGTCCACGTGTTCCCTTGTTTCTGCCATCATTTGGTACGGATTATCAGTGCATCGGTGTATTCACATATATCCATTTAAAGAACATACTATACATTATATCACCTTTTCTTGTGTTTTTATTTATTTATTTATTTTGCTCTGCATTTGTGACTTTACATCTGAAGAGAACTTCCTTTTAGCGATCAACAGTAGGTGCTAAACTGCATTATTCACATATCTTAAATATCCAACTTTGTTGTTCTATGTGTTGTTTAAAGTTAAAAAAAAATACTTCGATGTTGGCATTCAACTGAGCTGCTGTTCTTTGTTTGGCATTTGTTTAATGTTGGCCCAGAAATCTGGTGAGACTTTTTTGGTGCTGAATGACGAGATTAAGTGAATTTGGGGCCTTGTAAGAATCACTGAACAAAGTTTGTACTCTTTTTGTTTATTTGTTTGTTTTGTTTGGCTTGCTGACTCTTCTGTTACCTGCTGAGCGTGAAACGTTTGTCAAAACTTAATGATGATTAGCTAGTTCCGTTAGTCTAGATATTTTCCTTAAAAAGGATCTATGACAACTGTGTCTTTTTTTGCTGTGTACAAATAGATGATATATATAAATATATATATAGTCTACATTTGTTTTACAATATCTACTGTACTATCTGAGTTGTCACTGTTCTTTCATTCGAGCTCGTCTTTTTCATATGACAATTTATTATGAAGTGGTGGTTCAGTTACTTAGAAAAAAAACTTGTAAGGAAACTGTTCAATTGTTGTCATGTTGCTTGTGGAGAAAAAAAAATTGGATTAACTTTCAGTTAACAACCGCGGCAAAAGAAACCGAACAAAAGTTGAAGATATAAGTGTGTTTGTTTGACGGTTTATTTACTTATCTATTTTGAACTATTTATTTTGTATTTATTTGTATTTATTATCTATTTATTAATTACCTAATTTATATGTGTATTTATGTATTTATTTGTTTCACTGTCTATGTATTTGCGTGATTCTGGTACAGGGAGGGGGGCGTTTCTGAGCAAAAGGGAACAAAGCGACTAGTGGAGAGGCTCTTCCAGTAGTCCACTGCACTGAGAGAACTTTTAGTACGTTTGTGCTTTGTACCAATATATCAAAATGACCATATAAAAAACTCTAAAAGTTAAGAAAACTGAAAAAAATTGTCTGGAGGGTTGGGGGACGCTCTTCCCTTATTACTAGAAACAGTTACTCGCTATGCATAACCTAGTTAATAGTTAAATTTGCTATTGCTTTTTTCTTGTCTTGTTAAAATGAAATCTTTAGATCTTTTTCAATAAAGTTTAGTCTTAATAGAATGTTATAAACAGTCGTTCTGGTTCAATATAACCTGTGATAAGTTTGTGTAGTTTTAAAAAAAGCCACTCCGTCCACACCCTCCCTCCACTTACTACCGCTTTGTGATGAAACCTTATGCAAAAATGTGGGTCTGAAAGCATCGTTTCAGTTTTTCAGTGAACATTTTCTTCCACGTTCAGGCAGGAAACATTTTCAAAGTTGTTATTTGAGGGTCATTCATTGCACGGGACGAGATCGCTCACTGAAGAGTCTGAACTTATTTTTGAGATTGTTCATCATGTTTTCAAATGACAAACCAACAAATCTTTTAAAATTGAGAACTTGTTACCATTGCACACGCGGCTGCCGTTTAAAGCAGCTGCTATATTTAAGAAATACTCTGGAGGTATAAAAAGGGAATGAGTCAATTCTATATTTTATATACATTAATATGATATATATTATATATTTTGAAAGGTGAGAGGTAAGGGAATGGTTCCAGAAGTATAAATATAATTGGATTTTTTTTAGTTTGTTGCTAAGACTTGAAAACATGAAGGAGGTGTGTGGAGAGCAGTCGGAAAACTCAGACGCATGCTCGCATCCTTCTCTCCTGCACCTCACTCATCTGAAAACGCCGGGTCATCTGAAATCATCTCATTATCCAACCTTCATCCCGTCATAAAGGTTTTTCTAACTTCATAACAGCAACAAACCAACCAGACCCCTTCATGCTCCCCGCTGCCGTCGGGAGCTTGAATTATGCAACGACCCCACAAGAATGTTCTGATGTGTGAATTTCCTACACGGCGTGTGACTTTTAAACTCTTACAATGTGCGTTTGTGTGTGCGTGAGTGCATATGTGTGCACGTTTGGATGCATGTTTCTTTAAGGTATTGTGTTTGTCCGCTTGTGTTGGTCAGCTCGGAGAAGGCCCGTGAGTGGATGTGCAAGTGCAAACGTATGTTCTGTGCACATACACAAGCCCGCGCCTACTTGAGTGCATGTGTGTGTGTGCGTGCGCATATTTGGCCGAGATGTCAGGGGTGATTGTTTAGTGTGTATATGACTGTGAACATGTCAGGGTGTTTGAAACATGGGGCTGCGTCACCTCGCTCTATGCCCGACCCCTATGGCTCACACCATCCCCTGTAGCGCCTTATAGTGGCAGCCTGCCAGTAGGAACAACGCAGCCAGTAGTGGAGGAGGGAAGGTGAACAGAGGAACTAGGCTCTTCTTGTCAGTTTTCATTTTCCTCCTAAGACATGTTTATTTACTATCTGAGAAATCTATAAACAAAATCTTTAAAGACAAAAAAGATGAAAAAAAAGTTCACGGGGCCCCATGACCGCGGCTCCCTACTCTCTCTCCTGCTTATGTTATTACTTAACGATTATCAATGATGATTATTATGATTATTATTGCTATTATTCTTAGTATTCTTATTATTAATCCAATTACTGCGATGAATGACTTCATGTTATCCTTGCTAGTTTAGGTCATTTCTGAAACTGGAAACAAAATAAAAATCTTGCTGTAAATGTTTGTTTTTTCCTTTTCATAAAACTGTTGTGTTTAAATTATTTGTACTTTTGAATGTTGGGACAATAAAATGAGGTGTTGAAAACTGAGATGTTGCTCATGATTGAGAGTGAAAATTTCATCTGCATAGAAATTTTAATTCTTAGGCTAAATGAAGGAAATTATAGAGGGCAGAAATAGTCTTCCCTATGTTCCCATTTAAAAATAAAGTAAATTCAGAATGCCTATGTTAATTATTTAATTTAATACATGGCCTCAGGTTTTGGATTCATAGCTTTTCAACAAACAATAAATAAATAAAACATAAATAAGTTTTAATTAGATTAATCTTTTGTCTCTCAAGATTACCACTTAAAAGGTGCAACATTAAATCACACACACACACACACTTAATTTGTGTTGGGTGTGACCTTTAAGCTACTGAGAGGCAGTCACAACTATGACATAGTAACACTGCAGACATAAAACGCACCACTGATCTCAGAGAGCCCTCTGCCGAGCTGCTGCAGGACTAATGGGAGGAGTCAAGTGTAGTTACATCACTGTTGCTGTGTCATTAACTTTTTGCCATCAAACTGTTACTAAAATGCATAAAAGCAGCAGCTATCTGTGCCTAATTACAAAATGTGTTCCCGTATTAAATTTAATTTTAAACAGCTACCATTGTCCTTACATCAGTTACAATGACTAAAATTCTACGCTTGTTTGTTTTTTTACACACTTATTCGTTTTGTTTTGTGATAATCACATATGGCCACATGTGCATTCATTCATTTTTGTAACATTTCCTCAATTTAAAGAGTAAGCCACTCATTCTAGGGTGAATTTTGTATGTCAATGGAAGCTTTAGGGTTTTGAGACATGTGTGCCTCATAAAATTCACCAGTGGCTAGCATTCAGAGGCCAAGCAGAAGCCTACAGTTGAAACTAACCATGACAGTCAGACATGTTCCTCTTCCTTTTCTTTCAGTTTAAAGTAAGGCCAGGAATCGATTAAAATAAATTAAATGATTAATCAAAAATCTGACAAAAAGTTATCGCAATTATAATTTTTTTTTTCAGAAAAAGCAAGCAATAAACATGCAAAAATGTACAAGAGGTTCATTTTATTTAGAAAGTGCATAACTTGTTGCAGTGTGTAAAATCATTGAATACTGTCTTTAACAGAGAAAACCCTAAAATCAAATCCAGTTTCTGTTCAAAAACATTGTTTGAAAAAGTTTATTGTGTAAAAAATGAACAGAAAATAAATATAGCACAGTTAGCTTATGCTATTCAATGTAAAGGTCATTTTCCACAGCATCAGTTGAACTAGGATTGCCAACTCCCCCAAAAATAAATAAGGAACACCTCGCTGGCATGGACCCCAAATGCTTTGATATGGCCCTGGGTGGGACGGAGTTTTGAAGGTGATCTGAATTATATGGAATATATGAATATTATGAGCTTATAAATAATATTTACTCAATAACATTAAAACATGTGGTGGGATCAATCTACCTACATTTTCCTTTCCAAGCTCTTTGTTTTGTTTTCTTTTTGTTTGACTATTATCCTGTCCTGTCTGTCTCTGGTCCTGCATCAGGGAGATGCGGGATCTAGTTCTCCAGAAAAAACATTGCCTGGCCGTGGCCGTGGAGCTCGGGTGATGAGTGCAGCAGCGATGCACGTCAGCCATGAATAAAAAGACAGAAAGTATCAAAGCAGTTATGATCGTGTGTTAAATATATTTTGGTGGCGCTACTTTGAGAATGTTACTGTGGCCGTGCGCAAGACGCAAATGCTGGTGGAGCGCATGAGCGCTCTGCCTCTGTTCATCTTCTCCACTCAAAAGAATCCTCGATGCTGAGAGTCCATAGATGGGTAGAAACTTGATATTTTTTCGGGCTCAGTAAATGATGGTTAGTTTTGTCCAAGGGGAAATATGAGAAATTTTGTTATTGATTTAGTATGATGAGCATCGCCGTTAACTCATTCACTGTCATTGACTACTAAAGTCGTCATTTTAGATCCAACCGTTCACTGCATTTTTTTTTTTTTTTTTACTGTTTGGGGATCGGAACGAGCCCCCGCACCGAGAGAACAAACATCTCAGCTCTGAAGCCGATCTTCAACCGCATACGTCACACGTCACATGGTCAGGAAATCCATGTGTTAGGAGATTGTTTTGGGCCGTTCCTGTAAAAAAAGGTGAGGCGCTGTGGTTTTTTTCTTTAACAAGACACAGAGAGCATAAGACAAGTTGTCCTCTACAGCGTGGAGCTTTTATTGTTACAGTTTTATACAAAACAAGTCATCTTAGGACAGCGGGCGGCCGTAGCACGAGGGCCTTCGTCTGCTCTCTCGATAAAGCCTGTCTCCCCTCGAAATGAGAAACCCTTTAAGCATTGTAGTGACGTCATCCCTGCATAGCTTAGGAAATGGGTCCTCCACATACACATGAATTGAAACTGTTTGGAAGTTTTCTTGCTTCCCAGCAAAACCTACAAAACAGGAAACATCTGTTCGTGCTCAAAATTCAGAAAACACTCTTAACTGGAACTGATCCTGGAACTGATTGCTGTTGACTTTTCAGATAAATATTAGACTTACTGGAAATCATCTCAAAAGTTGGCAAGAAAACAGGATATTGAAACATCACATTACTCAGTTTCTGGCCACTACAGCGCGAACCGGGAAAGCGTCTGCCGATCACAATTTGACAACGGATTATGAAAGAACGGATAACGCTCGAAACATGCGGATTCGTCGTGATGTAATAAATGAGTCTCCTCTTTGTTTTGGCTGTTTTGGCGTCGACATCGTCCTAGCGTGCAACGTTCTGTCACTCTTAAAAATACAGTAAAAACGGTGAAAAACGCTGGAAGCGAAGGGCTTTAGTGATCAGGAAATGGCTGGCAGTGACTGAGTTAAGAGATATCTTGTCCAATCCTGGTGTGTGAGTAGCATCTGAACCCGGTGACCCCACCAGTGACATGCGGTAGGGATCCAATTTTTTTGTTTGATTTTTTTTTTATCAGCTCCAGTGTAAAGTGAAATGCTATGGTGTAAATCCAGCAGGGTGAATTCTGGCGAAGTCAGCAACTTGTTTACAGCAGGGAGAATGTAAGCTAACGTTCGTAAGCTAGCTAACACTTAGCTATTGTAATTACTACACTCTATGAGCCCCACATGGGTGTGCTAAATCTTCCCACAACTGAACTGGGCTTGAACCAGTAGAAGCCATACTAAACATCGCAAAATAAACAATGGCAGCAAATTTTCCCATTGTTTTGTACTTTTAACACTTACTGTTTACCTGCTTTTGCCAACCAATGTGGTGGACCCACGTGATAAGGTAATTTAGGTGCAAAAGGTCAGTAGGGACCCTAAGTCTCCTCCCTTTCAGATTGGCTCATAGGTTCCCAGAACAAATTAATAATGAATGCAAGTGAATGGGGCTATATATTTTCTAATCTGATTTTCCTTATGCCCTTGTAATGATTTAATTTACATCTATTTAATGAACCATAAAAAGTGAGATTCCATAGGAAATATGAAATCAATCTTATGGACCTTTGGAAAACTTAAACCAGAAGATTGGAACTTTATATTGCAGGGATTATGTAACCATGGGCTGCATGATGGCACAGTTGTTAGCACTGTTGCCTTGCAGCACGAAGGTTGCAGGTTAGAAACTCGGCTGCGGCCTTTCTGCGTGGAGTTGCGTGTTCGCCCCATGCATATGTGCATGGACGTAATTTTTTTGGGGGGGACAGGGGGGACATGTCCCCCCCACTTTTTCCAAAGTCAAGTCAAGTTTTGACCCCTGCACTTTTTACCATCCAAAAACAATATTACGCTATATTAAATTGACACTGGTTGAGCTCTAGGACCAAGCAGAAAACAACCGTTTGTGTTGAAGCCTGTTTCCCATTAGAGCATACTGTAAAGATAACACCCCACCCCCCCGCACCCCCCCCCCACACACACACACACACACACCCCACCCCACCCCCCACCCCGTGTCCCCCCTACTTCTAAAGTGAAAATTTTGTCCATGCATGCGTGGGTTTCCTCCGGGTACTCCGGTTTCCCCCACAGATCACAACATGCCCTGTAGGTTATAAATTGTAAGTCACTTTGGATAAAAGCATCTGCCAATTAAATAAACATAAACATAACCACTTCATATTAACTGAGAGACGAGAGAAGAGACAAGTTTAAGATTTACTTTAAAAAAGTTTAAGAAGATTTATTTCTAAACAATTTTAAACAAGACTAACTCTAAACTCTAAACTCTGGGTGATGAATGAATCTTGGTGTGAATGAGACGTGAGATGGATGGTGCATGTGTGAGTGATGTTGTCATCAGTACTCTCGTATCTGGAGAAGCAAGTCTGAGTGGGAAGTGATGTTTTGCTCTTAAGCTATGATCGGAGTTTCATAAACACATGAGACGCCATTTTATCGCTCCACACATACCGTTAGGATGAGACCTCCGTACAGATCCAGAATGCCAGGTCCTCGGAACCCCCTTTCGGTACCGGAGCCGATTAAACAGTGTCAGCAGTACGACAGACTAGTCTTTGGATTGGCTCCAGGTAAAAAGCGACAGTTGGTTGGCAGCGTCAGATGGACCCTGAGGGTCAGTGAGTTCAGCTTTTATTCTGAAAGGAACCGTTGCTTGGATGGTAAAATGCAACAGATTTCCCAGCTTGTCGGTTCTTTGCTTAAAAAGGAAGTCTGGGTGGCCGGTCCGATACTTCTCTTAGAATGCGGTGAACTGGCTTAAGATGGCGTGGGGACTGGTTTTATTAATCTGGATGTTTTGATTTAAGGTTGAATCAAAGTTTGACAAATTTATAAACACCACAGAGAGCATGCCACGCTTCAGATTTGAAGGCTCCGATTGGATGAGAAAGATTAAATGTGTCATGTGTCTTGTAAGCATTACGTGGATCAGTATGTCTTGTGCAGCTAGATTAAAGTCATATTACTTATTGAAATTGTTCATAACCATTGTCATTTCATAGATCGGTTCACATTTTATTATCGGACTAACACTTTGTTTGATTAGCTTTATTAAAATAGAGTTCTTTGATTTATT